AAAAAAAAAAAAAAAAGATTTTAAAAATCTTACTGCTTCAGACAGAGCTGTTTACTCTGTCTTTCCCTACATAATGGGGAAGTGTGTGGCTCATTTCATAGTGCTTCCCAGTATTTTACTTTTTACAACAGTGATCCTCCAGGAAGAGGGATCATTAGAAATCTCAGCACTGGCAAAACAGGTGTGAAAACACACCACTGTTTGATTCCATTTTTTCATTGTATCTATATACAGATATATTGTATATATTTTGTATATATTTCCTTTTGTATATACTGTATATATATTGTATATATTTCATTGTATCTATATACAGATATACAGATGTATGTACACACACATTTAATTCAACTCGGATTCAAGAAGGGCATGAAAAGTCTGGGCTGTGAAACACTGCTTTAAAATAAGAATTATTTTTCTCCAATTACAAAGGGAGCAATTGGAGACAGGTGGTGGCCCAATGCCTGCAATCCCGGAGGCTCAGGAAGCTGCTGCAGTAGGATTACAAATTTAAGGTCAGAGCCGGGTGTGGTGGCGCACACCTGTAATCCCAGCACTCAGGAGGCTGAGGCAGGAGAATCATTGCAAGTTTGAGGTCAGCCTACAAAGTGAGTTCAAGGCCAGCCTGAACTGCATAGCGAGATCCTGTCTCAAAAAGACAAAAAAAAAAAAAAATTCAAGGTCAGCCTAGGTAACTTATTGAGACCTTGGATTCAATCCTGAGTGCCCGCTGCTCTCTCTCACATACAGAGGCAAATGGTAAATATAGTCATGTACTGTATCACATTTTTGTCACCAACGAACAGTGTAAGTGCGACGGACCAAATAAACTGTGTCACCCAGAGATGCAGAAGCTATCTTAGTCTGTGCCAGTGTACTCTAGGATGGTTGCACAGTGAGATCAAGCAGGCATTTCTGATTGTATCCCCATTGTTAAGTGACATATGACTGTACTTCTTAGTTCACTTATTTGTGAAACTTCAGACTTCTTTTACATCAGCCACTTGTTTCTCCTGACAGTATCACTTACAGAAACATGTAAGTGCAGTCATGCATAGGGGGCACACACCTGTAACCTTAGCACTCTGGGGGGCTTAGGCGGGAAGATCACAAGTTCAAGTCCAACCAGGGCAACTTTGTTTGCAAAACCTTGCCTCAAAATAAAAACCAAGAAGGGCTGGGGATGGAGCTCAGTGCAAAGGCTCCAGATTCAATTCCTAGTACTGGGAGCCGGGGAGGGGGGGCGGGGTATGGTGGGGAGAGAAACATCTGAGCACCTACTATATGCTTAGCACTGTTCTAAGTGCTATATGCCAGGTGGGATCATCTCTGTTTTACAAATGCAAAATGTTCTGATAGGTGGTATGGAGCTAGGACTCTAACCCAGGAAATCTAAGTTCAACACACAATGCTACTTCTATATTTTATTTAGAAGCTGTCCTTTCTAATCTATCTTTATCAGGCCATTTCTTCTGAGCTCCCTACATACTCCCTTCTTAGAAAAAACCAGGCAGCCAGATGTGGTGGCACATACCTGTAAACCTACTACTGGGGAGGCTGAGGCAGGAGGACTGCTGTGAATTGGAGGCCAGCATGGCCTACACAGTGAGTTCTAAGCCAGCTTAAACTACACTGTGAGACCTGGTCCACACATCCATCTGACAGGCAAATCCAAGTGAATGATCCTCTTCTCCTCTGCCAAACGTGCCCAGCAAAGGGGTCAGCAAGTAGGAGGCCTAAAAGTAGTCAGGCTTAATTTGGTCCACTATAGCCTCAGTTCACCCACTGGTAACTTGAGGAATTTCTGAAACTAGATTTAAATAAAAAAGTTATGTATACTTAAGGTATACAACATGATGTTATAAGATATAAATAGGTGCCCTAAAATTAACTACTCCCAAAGTACTAGAGAATGAACCTAAGCCTTCACACTTGCTAGGCAAGTGCTCCACAACTGAGCTATATCGCCATCCCTGAAATGAAATTTCAAAGCTAGGCACACTATAATTTTTAATATATACATGTACACAAATACAAGTTATACACAAGTTAAAAAAATTTTAATAGTCACTAAAGGGTATAATATAAAAAATTTCCCTACTTCTTAGGAGCAAACACTGCCAGTGTTATGTTTATGACTGCGGTTACCATTTGAACTACCTGTACGTATGTATATGCTGGAGGTAGTCCTTGGGTATGCAAAGTAAGAACTCTATTACTAAGTTTCACCCCCAACTCTGACATTTATCCTTTGAGTACCAACTATGGAAGACAATGAACATTTTTTTCCATAATCTTTTCTACCATTGTCATGATCCCATTTTTATACTTTTTTTAGTTGTCAATGTCAAAACTTACACTTTACAATTTCAGAGGCTTCGTCCTGGAAGGATTCTAAGGATTTTAAAGATTATTAGATTTATAAACTAATAAACAGCATTTGCAGTATTACATGTATGTATATATATTTTACTGGAGAACTAGGAATGGGTAGCCCCAAAGAAAGGCAAATATTCCATGTCTATAGACCTCCTCTTTTAAACACACACACACACACACACACACACACACACACACACACAGCTGAAGAATTAAACAGGCAACTAATTAACACTAAGTACTTGTATGTGGCAGTCACACACACTAAGTACTCTATGTACATTCCCTTATTTAATCCTCAAGCAACCTGATAAGAAGGAATTACTAGCCCAATTTTGCAAACAAAACTAAGGCAAAGGTTACCTAATTTGCCCAAGCGGGGATTTTGAGAAGCAGAGCAGGGCTCTGAACCCAGGTATGGCTCCAGGGCCTGAACGCTTCGCTATACTGCTTGCTCATCCTAACTATTCTTTCACTTTCTTTTTCTTAACAATGTGTTAATCCCCTGAATAGCAGAGGGAGTGTGTTATTCAATGAGGCAGAAGTTAAAATCATTCTGTCTAAATATTAAACGTGTTTTGAACTATATTCTTTCTTTTTCAAATCCTATTAAAATGACACTATATTCAACCTTTCTACTCACCAAATCTGGGAACCATCAAAGACTATGCTTTATGGCTTGATTCCATAGTACAGTAAATAGAAGCAAGGTACAAGTCAAGTGGGGCTTTTTTCTGTTCACAAATTAACAACCACAAAACAGAATAGTCAAAGCAGTAATCCAATAGAGAAAAGCCCTTTAAAACTCAGGACACTACAAATGAAAAATCCTTGAGGACACTGTTATTTTTTTCAACTGAAGTTAAAGGGGAAACTCAAGTACTGAACATGATGTTGTTCCTTGCCTCATTATACCCAGTATATAATACAGTGGATCAGTTTCACTACAGATCATTTTAAAGCTTATTTTTAAATTTTACAGAACCTCATTTACAGACCAATTCTCTACTTATCATTTCCAAGCAAGACGATTATATTACTGTTTGCAAAGGCATGGAGGTACTAAACTTAATTTAAAAAAATTAGCATGGACCAGATGTAAATCAGGGTCCCCCCGCCCCCCACCTCCGTTTTTTCAGACCGAGTCTTGTTATGCAGCCCAGGCTGGCCTCAAATTTGCGATCCTTCTGCCTCAGTCCCCCAGTACTGGGCTCACAGCTGTGCACCACTACACCAGGCTTTCATCAGGCTCTTCCGGCACTAAATTCTCTGCAAGGGGTCAAGGTCTGGTTTATAACCATAATCTACACTTTACTATTTCAATTCAGCACAGTATGTTTCACTGAATAATTGTTCACTAGTTTAGGTTTATTTCCACTGTAGCTGTTCTACAGTAAACAGCTAGTTCACGGTACCCGTGCTACAATGCAGAACAAGCGTTTGAAAGGAAAGAGTATTCCAATAGCTTAACAGGGGCTTACATGAGGAATGGAGTTCCAAGAGCAGCTCTGTAACTGCGAGCCACTCTGGGTACTTGTCAATGGGCACTTTTTCTGTTTGGTGACCTATCTGTCACTCCTTCTCAGCCCATGGGCACTTTTTCTGTTTGCTGATGTATCTGTCACTCCTAAGCCCCGGGCTTCAGGGGGGAGAGGGTGTGTCTGCGTCCCTGTACTCCGTGGGAGCAGCACGGCGCCTGACACAGGCTCTGGACGCTGGCGTGGAGTTAAGCGTCAGCCAACAGGTCCCTGCTGCGAACAAAGGAAAGCAGCAAGCAGGCACCGCAGGCGCAGGTTAAGGAACCGTTTACTGCTTAGAGACAGTAAATCCGGCAGAATGGACCTGCAGGGTTAGCACAGCTCCACCTCCCTGAGCTCTGACTGTCCAGCCGGCGGGGCGCTCGCCGTGAGCAGAGCCAGGCTTGCAGCCCGTGGGCCCCGAAGCGGGCTCCCAAACAGCGGCGGGGTCACCGCGGGGCTCAATCCGGCCTCGACCCTTCTCCCTTGCCACGCCTGGCCCTGCTTTAGACCCAGGCTAACCTTGGGCCGCGTCCGCTCGCTCCGGGCCGAACCATGACAGAGCAATTCGGGCGGACCACAGACAGACCCGGCTCACTCACCTACTTGGTAGAGCCGACCCTCCGGCGAAAAAATGGTAATGTGGCGGTCAAAGCCAGCGCTGGAGCCACGGGACATGGTGGTGCACCCACTACTTCAAGCACTCTTCGGGTCCCTTGGCTCCCGCACTGGGCATACAAGCACCACCCGGAAGTGGCAGCGACTGCTTCCGGGTCACCGGCCGGACTTCTTCCGCTCTCGCCGGCCGGACCTATCGTTTAGTCACCCATTCAAACGGAGAGGCCCAGGCCCCGCCCCCGAGCTGGGCGAGACCCGGAGGTCGCGGGGCGGGACCGCGAGGTCAGCCGGCGTCTCCGCGGCGTTTGCGCTGGGCTTGAGTCTGAGAGGATTGTGGGTACGAGGTGAAATTTGGGTTGTGACATTTAGGGCGTTCGTGCGGAAAATAAATTGACTGCTGCAGAAACGAAAAAGCTTTTTTGGGAGACCTGGAGTAGCGATTTGCCTATGGGAGTGAGCTAAACGGGCCGTGGAGTCATGCGCCTCTCATCCCTCGTTAGTGTTGGCGTCGCACATCCTCCCTGTGTGCCCAGCGCGTCGGCGTGCGCTTCCTAACCTGCCAGTTGCCTTCCTGCGACGGGGCACTGCTGCGGCTGCAGTAGCAGCAACGGATAAATGTAGGCACGGAGCGGAGCGCGTTCCGGCAGCCACCGGGAAGCAGAGAATTTTCTTCTCGACCGGCAAAATCTTCCTTTGACAGTAGCCCTGACAATGCTTTGTCTTAAAAGTGGAACAGGTTGAAACATGGGCGATCGGGGCATCCTGAGGGTTAGCGGCTAAGGATAAGGGACACGATCCGGAGGGTTGGGGGTTGGAGCAGGCAAGTGTTGTATTAATGAGGGTAATTCCGAGTCGTCGAGGTAGCCCCGGGAAACAGCCGGTGGCTTTTCAAATTGTGCCTATTTGACTTTACCCCATGCACACTCCTATTTAATATAAAGTGCAAGACATAATGTTAGGCAAGTTTTCCCCCCTAGATAAAGGTGGTTTCTGTACCCCTCAAGGTTTATGGTACTTTGATGCCTGCTCTCAAGTAGGGATTCAGATCTCTAAAATACTTTCTCCTAAACTCACTTTCCACTTTCAAACAAAAAATATGTAAGAACCTCATAAGGAAATTTCAATTTTTCAAAAAAAATTTCAATTTTTCAAAAATGTTTTTAAAAAATGTCTATTTTTAAAAACTGGGAAATAGAAAGTCCAGTCCCAAACTGGAACATGATTTTTTAAAAATAGTAAATAGCCGGGGATATAGCTCAGCGGCATAAGTGCTTGCCTGGCAAGCCTGAGGTCATGAGTTCGATTCCCCGGTACAAAAAAAAAAAAGTAAATGCTTGTGGACTGTCTGGTTCTTTCCAGCTGTATTTCCCAAGTAAGTGTACAGATAAAAGTTGTCCCCTGCTTTGCAGCATTTGCTTCTGGTTTAGGTCTCTGCTGTCAGGGTCAACTCCTGACCTTTTGAGCCCATGGTGTGGTGTAATTTTTACAGTTTGTGAGAATAGTCGTGAAGAGCTCTCTGCAAGGCTGCTAGGATGAACTCGTTTAGTCCCTTGAGCCTCAACCACCTTGTGTGCTGCTCTCTCCCAAATGTAGGTTCCAAGCTGGACCCTTCTTTGGAGCCGAGTCTTCTCTTACTACCTATGGGATGTTTTTCACAATGAGGCATATGCTATTTCAAAATCTGAAATAATTAAAACAGAAGTCTT